TGTGGTTGTTTATTCTGCCCTAGTAAGGAACATAAAGGGGACAAGAATGGGGAATATCTTGGTTGATGTTGTGTTGGGATAATGAGGGATATTTGGCCTGGGATTTATAGAAAAGGATAGAAGGTTTTATTTGTTTATTAAAAGGTTTAAAAGAAAGAAAATAACAACAAACAAAGGTTGTGGTTTACACACTCTTATTTTCGGCCAGGGCCTAAAATAGGAGTAGGAAAACTTTATTTTGAAAAGGAAATATTTTGGATGTTTAGGGAAGGTATGGAGAGTGTGGGCTCAGCCTAGGGTGGGTGTAGGACAACCATGGTGTTGGGTTGGGTTCTAAGACAGGAAAATGGAGAAGTTTCAACCCAATTAATGTCACCACACTTGGGCTTTATTCCCCTGATCTGTCTTTCCCTTGGCGGGCTACGGAGAGTCTTCGGGCATGCTCCCGGATATATATCAATAGCATTTGCCATTTTTGCCCAGCAATCCTAGAGGGAAAGTGGCAGATTCCACGGATACGAAATTCAGTATATATACATATATGTTGTACACACCACACACACACACATTTATACATTATGTTTGTGTGTGTGTACATATATATGTGTAGATTTTGGTTCAAATGAGAATGGTGCATAGTGAAAGAAATGAGAATGCATACGATCCGTTAGATTTATGATCTAACGGCTATTAAAAATAAAATGTTCTGAAAAAATTGAAAACATCACGGTGGAAATTTTGTAGATAAGTTAAACTTTCCAAAAATGCACTACTTCAAGTGTAAAAATGCATCACAACAGTCTGAAAATGCACCATTCTCATATTCTCGTAGTAAGGGTATTCTCACCTGAACATATGTGTGTGTGTGTATGCATTCTGTGTGTGTGTCTGTGTCACCCAATCACTAACTTATTTTTTGAATTAGCTGATAAATAAAATGTAGTGTACATCTTTTGGGAAAGGTTCTGCATTGAATGAAGATAACACTTGAAATCTCATATTGTATTGTTTACTCTAATTTATTTAAAAAAACATGTATTTTAATTTTTTCCCCTCTAAGAGGACCCCCCCATTCAGATGCCACTATTGACTGTTAAGTCTTCATCATATCTATTTTATTGGGTTATAAATTCATGTATATCGCCTTTTAGCGTTGAATATTTTCCTGTAGATGATTCCTATTTGTGTTTTTCCCTGACAGGATATTCGGAGAAACGAGTCTCTGTTATATCTCTGGTATGCAGAAGTGGAGCTTGCAAATTGTTCTCAAGATGGTTCAGAGTCATTGCTCCGTGCTTTTCACATTTTATCTTGCCTAGGAAGTGGTATGAAATACACTCCTTACAAATGTCAGCCCCCAAGCCTGATGCAGCTGAAAGCTCGACAAGGATTTAGAGAGAGACTAAAAATGCTACATTCATCTTGGAGCCGAGGTGTAATAGATGTCCAGTCAGTTTCCCTTGTATGCTGTGCTGCTTTGTTTGAGGAAATAAGCACTGGATGGACAGCCAGTGCTGAAATCTTTGACGAGGCATTTTCAAGGGTTCTTCCTGGTAATGAACTTTCTGTATTACTCCGTGTATATTTACTCCCTCCGTCCTCTTAGTTTCTTCTTAGTTTAACTTTGCATGGTTTTTAATGTAAGATAATAAAGTAAATGGGTTTTCAAGTTCGCTCTTTTCATTTATTTTTAAAATAAATCTGAAGGGATGCAGGCACGCAGTGCAAAAAAATGAAAATTAGGAATTCATATCCACTTACAATCATCCACACATTACAAAAATCATCCAAACATTACAAACAGGCAATTCTAATTCTAAAGAGGAATAGAAACACTCCCAAAAAGAGTGTCTATAAAAGGTAGTTTCCTCTTTAGGAACCTTCCATTTTTCAAATCTTCACTTCTTCCACATTCTTCTTCTCCTTCCTACTCCACGCTGTCACATGTCTTTGCACACAAAACATTGCTAAAGAGCATGCAACACCAAAAAAAAGCAAAAAGGTTAAGTAATGGCGATACGGACAACATCGTTATTGCACTGTTACTTGTCTCTAAACCTAATACACTAGGGTTTGCTACTGCTCAAAAAAGGGATTTTCAGCATAATTTCAACATTTCAAGACGCACAGTGAGTGGCATATGGAGGCTGGCAAGGCAGCAGTTAGGTGAAAGGAGTCCAATTGATGTGAAACACAAATGTACAAGTAATCCAGGTAGGAGAAGAGGGATCTGGATATAGGAGCAATCTCAAACATTCCTTTTTGCAATAGGACAAACATAAGGTGTTTGGCCCCAGTGTTGGGAGTGTCTAATACCACAACACACATATGGGTTCAAACAGGCCTGATTAGAACCTAGACCTGGCAAAACTGACCCGAATCCGATGACCCGAACCGAATAACCCGGAACCGAACCCGATTTGACCCGAAAACTGAAGACCTGAAATAGAACCAAACACCCGAAATGACCCGAACGGAACCGAAACCGAACCGAATGTATTCAGACCCGATTCAGATCCGAATCCGATTAAACCCGAACCGATAAAACCCAAACCCGGTTAAACCCGGAACCGATTAGACCCGAAATTGATCAAATTCATTAATATTTTATTTATCAAATGAACTTGGAGAAAAAGAATTACCTATATACTTTTACATATGTTGATGTGTTTCTAATAAAACATATTTAAATTATGGGTGCAAACCGTATAACTACTTTCATGTACAAATCTTTTACTTCGTATTTTATAACTTAAGTTAAAGTATTTTTGTATTTTATCGCCTTCAAACTTAAAGTTTGACCAACATCGTTTCTTCAAAAATATTAGCAAAAATATTAGAAATAATACTCCTTATATTTCAAGTGTTTTTTAATACCCACAATTTGGTAATAACTTTTACTCTGTATATTTTAATTTATTATATATTTTTATATATAATTATTCAAATATTTGACACACAGAGTGAAATGGATAGTTAATTAGAAATAAAGGAAGTACGAAGTAGAATGTTAACTAAAAAGATCGCGCCGAAAACTTGAGGAGGGAAAACTTTAGAATGTAAACAATTAGTTAATTATATGTAACTGTTATTTTTTATGTACGTCCGTGTTAAATAATAAAATAACTACGGAGTATATCATAAATTGATTAAATTTATTATGTGATATTATTGATTTATTAGTAAATATTTAAAATATATCTAAACTAATATAAACCTAAATCGATACAAACCCGAATCAATATAAACCGAACCGATACAAACCCGAACCGATATAAACCCGATCCGATACAAACCCGAACTGAAACTGAAAACCAGTCAAATCGAAATAAACCCGGAACCGAACTGACCCGACCCGAACCGATTATAACATATATCCGAATGAGACCCGAACTGAAAAGACCCGAACCGGAACCGAACCGGAACCGAACCGATTGACCCGATTGCCAGGTCTATTAGAACCCACAAACAAATTGCAGATACTGCAATTCTGTTTCAATCAACTACTACCATCAAGTATCCCAAACAATCCCACATTTAAGGCCTTTGAGAATATTGTTCACATAGATGAGAAGTGATTTTTTCATGTCAAAGACATCCGAAAGGTATTACATGGGCATAGATGAGGAAGATGTCCATAGGCAGTGTAAGTCTAAGGTATTATAACCAAGGTAAAGTTTTTAGGGGTTGTGGCAAGACTAATAATATCAGATGGGTGAAGTTCTTAGTGATGGTAAATTGGCAATCTTCCCATTTACAGAAACAATCCCAGCAAAAGGAGTAAAAATAGGGAGGCTGGGGTTCTAGAGATTAAACCCATTGTCAGTGTTACAAAGAAAGGCTTCAAAGCAGTGTTGATCAGCAAGGTCATACCCATAATCAAGGAGAAGTGACCATCATTGAGGGGCACAAACATTGTGATACAAGTTTACAACAAGACAATGCTAGAGTACATATTGCTAACAATTGCCCAGACTTTGTGGAAGCAGGGACATGTAATGGGTGCAACATTATCCTAGCCAACCGGCCACTCAACTCCCATGATTTGAGCATCTTGGACTTGTTTTTTTAATGTTACCCATTCATTGAAGGAGCAAACAACCCCAAAGGCCGTAGGTTATTTGGTTAAGGCAGAAGAACATGCATATGGGCAATTGCTAGCTCACCCATTGAATAAAGTGTGTCTAAGCTACCAACACAAGGGCTGTTCAAGCTTAGGTCCTGACCAAAAAAAACAACCGAACCGGATTGTTAGGTCCATACTGAACCGGACCGAATGCATTTAGGTCCGGTCTTCGGTCCATGTGCTTTGAATGTTCGGGTTTCGTTCCGGTCCAGTCCAAAGCGGATATGAATTCGGTCCTGACCGGCAGGACAGATCGCACAAGTCGTGAAATATTGAAATTGTCTTAGTGCCTCACTCTCCCTCCACATAAGACATACATTAATTATTTCTTCCTTGCCTTGAGTCTGCCAAGTCTCCGACCTCACTGTCTCATTGAAGTCCGAACTATTGTTTTACCATCCGATTTTGAAATTCTCCCTTCTACATAATCAGTTTTTTTCAGCTTTTCATTTTGGTTGCTATCTATCCACTGATTTATTGTTTTTAAATTCTCCCTTCTACATATGTATTTAATGTTCAAAACCTGATTTGTTATTGTTTTGTAAGCATGATATTGATGTTTTTTTGTTTTCCTTGATAATATTGATGTTTTTTTCCATGGCAGTTCTTTTTCAGTTTTAACTCACATTGTAGCCTACATTTCTTGCAGTGGATGTAAAAATGTATTTTTGGTCTTTTCGATCCTAACCGGTTCGGTCTAGAATATATCAGTCCGGTCTGTCTGAAACTGATTATATATAGGTCCCATCTTCGGTCATTATTTTATTTCAATTTGGTCTTCGGTCTGGTCCAGTGTGGTTCTGGACCGTTGAACAGCCCTAACCAACACTGGATGCAAGAAATTATGAGGGTTAGAGTACAGTAGGGAACAACTACAAGGTTCCTCACATGGGCAAAGATAGGCTATCTAGAGAGGGAACACTTCGTAGTGTGTTGCAGTTAGTGGAAGGGGTGTTGGAAATGGCACAACGAGTACTGGAACAACACCTAGCTCTTAAGGCAGTATTTCTCAGTTCATCAATGAAGATGAGGACCACTTTAATAATCTTTAAGGATGAACTGAATGCATATGATCTTATATTAGGATTTTTTTGTAAGGATGTATTCTGGGGGCTTTGGAGTTTTGGGTTTTAGGTTTTTGGGTTTTGGATAAGTAGGAAACAAGTACAGAATACCCCTAAGTTGACAGCTTATGTAATGATAATGTGATTATGTTTATAAGTTATCATATCAGTACTTAGTTACCCATGGTGCACTATAGGTTCAAAGCTTAACATGAATAACCTTATACAACATGTGTAGTAAACACACATACACACTTAACATGAATAACGTTCCATACATCACAACATGCTCAGTGGCCAAACATGTGTAGTAAACTGTTCTAAACATTTTCATTAGAGCATGCTTAGCTGGGAGTGCAGTCCAAACACTCATACTCATTGAACAAAGCAGAGTCATTTAACATCGCAGCATGTTCAGGTTTGTATGAACATATACCTTAACATCACAGCATGCTCAGGTCATTATAAACATCTACCTTAATAGTTAATATCACAGTATGCTCATGTCATTATGAACATCGACCTTATCATCACAGCATGCTCAATTGACTATCAAACATTCCTTGACACAGTACTGCATGCTCAATTAACCAGCAAAACCACATATACATCATTGCATGCCTAATTACACTTCTAAACAGGGGCGTATAAACATCACAACATGCTCAATTTACTGTAAAGACCAAGTGAACATCACTGCATGCTCAATTAATATTCAACATATCTCAGGCACAGCAATGAGTAAACCAAAGAGCCATAGCATACATGAAGGGAAGTTAGGGAACCCAATTTAATCCCGAGTAAAAGCTGTAGCATTAAGGAAACTAAAGAGCCATAGCCCTAGCAACACCAAGCTCTTTAACAAAAGATTAGACAATGATTAATTAGCATGATGGACTTTCCTTCTGTGAAATTTTGATTTCAGCAAGGAATTAAAAGCTTCATGTTGGGAAAATCTGGAGTTTCATAGAGGGGGGTTGGCAGACTCACCTTCTTCGGAGTAACCCTCAAAGTGATCTAGAGAATTTGGGACAATAATTTCATCCCATAGTAGATAGGCGTCATACCCTCACTCCCATGTATGGAGTCTGCTCAGTCACAACACTGGCTCCTTCAATCGCAATGGAAGGACCATGCATGGCATCATCCCCATTGTCTCCACCAATTTCGTAGAGAAGATATAGATCCTTCTAAATTGATGAGTAGTGAGTAGGGATTTTAGTTAGGGGGGATGAAAGACAATGCGACAAAGAGGGATGCACAGTGGTAGCGACTCCCACAAGAACAAGAATGGGGTGGTGTGATCTACGCTACGGGTGGGCAGTGGGGCGTATTGTTATCAAGTCGTCGACTAGTCGGCGACTAGTTGTCCGGTCGTTTTCTGGATGGCGACTTGGGTGGACTAGCTGTCCGGGCAAACAAAGCAACGGCTAGTTGCCGCGACGACTAGTCGCTGACGGAAACCAACCCAATTTGACCTGACCCAACCCGATCCAAATTTCATTAAATTTTAAAAAGTACTCCACAAAACATCGCCTCACTCGGTTCACAGCACAATCACAGTCGACTTTAACCCTTCTCAAATCCCAATGTCTCTTTCATGGAAGAAAATCGTCATGGTGGCATAACGTTGGATAATGATATTTGATAACTCAAAACATGGAATTAAATATTTTAATATGTTCTTTGACTTCTTTTTGTGCTTATTATCTTTGGTGGTGTGTTGTTTTTTGAAGATTAAATGATATTTGTTTCTTATGTATCCTTTGTAATGTGACTTTATGTGCTACCTTTAAACATAATTTTGTTTTGATAATGATATTTTGTCATATAAATTAATATAGTTATCTTGGGTCAATGAAGATATATATAATGTTAAAAATTTCAATACTAATTGTGATTTGTCAACTAGGCTACGACTAGTAGGCTGACTAGTTGACTAGTCCACTAGTCTCCTCTTCACCGACTCAACTCGACTTGTCGACTTAACGACCATGGTGGGGCGGTTGAGGGTAGTAAATAGTAGTAAATATGTTGATTTAGTTAGGGTAAAATAGGGATTGTGTGATATTTTACTATTTTAGTGCCAAATTAAGCAAGTGAGGAGAATAAAATAGGACAGCCTAAAAATGAAAGTGGGAAGAACCAAAGAGGATGGATGAAGGGAGTAATTTTTATGTACTCATGACTATTTTTCCCATATATAACTATTCTAAATGTATTTCTGCAGAAAGAAGAAGGAACAGCCATCATCTAGAATTCCTGTTCAATTATTATCTAAACATGCTTTCTAAACATCTCAGTGAAGTCAAACTATCAAAAGTATGGGACTCTATTGTGGATGGGCTGCAGATATATCCCTTCAGTCCAAAGCTTTATGCCGCATTAGTTGAGATCGGTCATCTTTACAGTTCACCAAATAAGCTAAGGGTGGTATTCCATGAATACTTCAACAAGTATGTCCTTGAACTTTGTCTGCAGAGAATGGAAATATTTCATAAATCCATGTTTCTGTGCATGCAATAGTTGCTATTGTTTTTTGCTGTCGTTATTGATCTTATCAGTTATTTCATTCTTAATGCATCCAAGCTCTCTTTCGCTTGTAAAATTATGCACTGTTGGTTTAACTTTTACTCTGTTCATTGGACCATGCCTTTCTATTTTCATAGTGTATTAGATCAATCTCATAGTTACTGACTCATAGTTTCTGTTTAAAAATCCAGGAAACCATCAGTCATTAATTGGCTCTTCACATTAACGTTTGAGATGAGTAGAGGTGGCTCTCAGCATAGAATACGCAGATTTTTTGAGAGGGTATTAGCAAATGAGAAACTATGCAACTCAGTGATAATTTGGCGCAGCTACATTGCATATGAACTCGATATAACTTGTGACACATCAGCTGCAAAAAGAGTTTTTTTTCGAGCAGTCCACGCTTGCCCCTGGTGAGTTCATCCTCCATGGTGATGTAATAGTTACATTGTCCCAGAAACTATCTCAGCAGTCTTTTATAGCGGGCCGATTGCTTTTGGCACAAAATTTGAGCACTCTAATAAAAAAGGATGGGGTAATGGGTAAAGTTATTGAAGGAAAACATATCTTTTATGGAAATGGGAAGTTTATATTGGGACCAGCCGAAAAAGACAATTGGGAGTTTATTTTTGGACGGAGTTAGTATTTTAAATGCTTCTCTCTTCTTTTCGTCTTAAAATTAAGATGAGTTACAGATGCTGCCTTTTCTATATAGGTCAAAAAGGTTATGGCTTGATGGTTTCCTCAAGCTGAACACCGTTTTAACTGCAAAGGAGCTTTCAGATCTCCAAGAAGTAATGCGGGATAAAGAGCTCAATTTAAGGACAGATATCTATGAAATTCTCCTGCAAGATGAGGTGGAGTGCTGATAGTGTATGCTTCTGTTTGTACCTCTTCCCTGTGACTCTTACATCAAACTGCTGGATCGCTTTTAGCTGTGGATTACACTTAATTCTTCTCCCAATGTCTCATTTTATGTGCAATGGTGAGTCAAGTAGTACTCGTCTTTCTTAGTTTAATGCCTTTAATACTCCGTATTTTTTGATCAAGTAGTCATGTTACAGTATGTTTTATAGAAATGTTGATTTTAGATTTAAGAAATTACCCTAGATGTGAGTAAAACATAAAAAAATTACCAAATAGAGCTTCATATTTTTATACCTAAAATAAGAGTTTTCGCTGTAATAATGTGACGTTGCATATGAACACTTCACAATATCTTTTGTAAATGTATATGGTCATGATTGGACAAGTAAATGCATTTTAATTTCTATATCAAGAATAACTACATGGAACTCTTATTTTGTTATATTTTCAATGTTTTACCTATTCTTTAGTCTTTTTCCCTCTAGATTTTTTAAATATGTATTTTTTTTCAAAATAAAATTGAATTAATTATTAAAAGTAAAGGAATAAAGAAAAAAAGTAGAATAAAGGAAAAGAAAAGGGGGGAGTCGGTTTGGGTTTCTTCTCGTTGGGATTGTGGGTCGTGGCTTGGGAACTTTTGAATATGTAATACCTTCGTTCAAAAACAGTTTCACTTTGGACAAAAGTGATATTTAAGAGGTGTAATTTGGGTGCTGTTTTTTTGTTTTGCCTTCTTAAAAGTGAGAATAACATATAGTTGGTATATTAATATGGATTAATGAATAAATATGATGTGATAAGTAGGTTAACAATTGATAGTGATAATCTGATGACTTAAATTGAAAGAAGAAAAGTTTTAAGGACGGATGACAAAGAAAAAAAAAGTTTTTTAAGGGACAGGAGTAACTTTTAAGTACTAATCTAAATTGAAAAATATTACAAACAATAAATTAAAGATATCATCATAACACAAAATCGGATATGAATGGTATTGAGAAAGGGAAATGCTACATGTGTTCTTATAGCACACTTAAAGTTTTAAATTATTTAGACTAATCTTGCCTATCTTATTTTTCTTTTATTCCAATTTAAGTTGTATGGTTCTTATGCTCTTTAATTGAAATTATTCTCAATCCAATAATAAAAAATTAGCGTAGTGTTAAAAATAAATATTACGGAGTATATTTTTAAAAACAATAACATTTATACAAAACAAAGAGGAGATGACTAACGAAAATATGTATAAAAAATATTGTTAAAGTTTGATAATTTGAATCATGAACATGCAATTTAAATAGGAACAAATAAAGTATATCGCAAATTGATCGAATTATTTGTGATTCAAAATTTTAGGCATATTGTAAGTTTTGAGAAGTGTACATGTAGTACTTCTCATATCTGGACTTCTATGATCAACCTTTACACACGTTTTCACAAACGGCAAACATTTTATTATGGTGAATTTTCTACTAAATAGTACTAAAACATATATCATATTTCAATGTATTACTTAAACTTTTTTATTTCCTGAATAGATTTGAATTGTAACGCCCCAAAACATACCCTAAAAGTGTTATTAAATTATTAATCAATTAATCAAATTTGTTTTGATTAAAATAAATTATTATTGGGCTTTAGACCGAAATAAAATGTGTTCTGATATCGAATATCACAATATGGATAAATCTCATATAGATAAATTCAATATGTTGACTATTTATGTGATCTTGATTGGGAACCAGAGTATAGACCCAAATTAAGAATGAATGAAGAATTTGTTTATGATGTGAACTTTGAAATGATTTATTAAAATAAATCATGAGAATAAATAACATGAATTAAATGTGAGAACCTTTTTGAATAAAGATCAACTAAATAAATTTTGACTCTGTCAAAGTTATAAACAAAAAATATGATATCAGAAAAATTATTACAAATAATTTTGAAAATTATATTGTTGGATAGAGTTTAACTGTCCGATCGCAAGGTACAAACGGATTTTCAATTCTGAGAAATTAGTCCAATCAAGGAGAATCGTCTGTATATCTCCAATATCACCGTTCTCTCCACTACGATCGCCTCAATGACGCATAAACCATAGGAAGATGTTTGGCTTCATCCCATCCTTCAAGCTATATGAGTACCTCAACCCCCTCATTTCTTCACCAACTCTTGTAATTCCTTCTTCTATTCTGTTGCTCTAAGTGAGGAGAATATAGTGGTGCTGTCATTTTGGTGTGAAGTCGCCAGAGCTAAGAGTAATTGTCGCCGGAACTTTCGTCGGAAAATTTTCAAAACCTTCGTTAAGCTTCGAGGTAAGCCTATAGATATATCTAGTGACTAGAATGTTTGTATAGATCGTTTCTACGTTCATAAATGGTTGTTTGGTTGAGTTTTGTGTTTGACATGCTTAAAGAACCAAGAATCATAAACCTTGAAATTGATGTTAAAACTATGAACTAATGATACCAACATGATCTATGAACGTTGGAGAACATTTCTATATAATTTAATTGAAGTTTGGTGACTAAAAATGATATTTTCGAAAATGAACCCGATGAAGAAGACGATGAACAGTAGACATTAATCGATTAACTCATATTGATTAATTCATGTTGATTAATTGATTAATTCATGTTGATTAGTTTATTAATTGGTTGTTCCGCTGAACCATTTTTAATCAGTAGCAATTAATCGATTTTCCATATTCGATTAATCAATTAACCTCGTTTTCCGCGGAAGCATTTGAAGTCAATAGCAATTAATCAATTTTCCATCTTTGAAGTTAGTAGCAATTAATCAATTATGTGAACTAGAGAAACTTTTCAAAAAATTTATTTTTGAAATACTCCCTCCCTCCCCCTGTATTTGTCCACTTTCATTTTTACACACCATCCAATGCACTTCTTTAATCCATTTTATCTTGTAATTTGTATATTAAAAAATTATAAAAATTATATATTAATAATCTATATGTTAAGACAAATCAAACAAGATCACACATGACTATATTTAGGCTTACACATTGAGAAAATTTGATGAGTCAAAGTACTTAGATGAATAGTTTCAAAAGTCAAATGTGGACAAATACAGGGGGACGGAGGGAGTATTAAATCATATTCTTGTTATCAAACAATTATGATTAATATGGAAATAATTTCAGGATATAAATACGATGTTTTGACATACCCAATAACCTTATATGATGCATGACAGTAAGCTAGAGTGTTAACACTCGACGCTAGGCGGCGCTCATTGCTATCGAATATTATGATGATGATTATTATGGACGATTATGATGAATTGATAACCTATTGATTAAAATGATTATTGTGAATGATTGAACCATGATTTAAAACATTGATGATTGTGAAATGATTCGTATTGTAAAGGATATCTAGAAGAACTCTAAGATGTATCCATGTTGATATTGGTTTCTAATACTATTGGATATGCATACAAATTAACGCTAATTATGATTTCTACCCTTGAAGAAACCCATGAACTCACCTAAATTATTTGACGGATTAGATGAATCAACTCGCCGACTCAAATGAACGTGGGGAAAAGGGAGGTTGGTAGCGACCACAACGGCGTCTTAGCGTCAATCGATCAACGATGAGATGACCTGAGAACTCTCTCGGAATACGTGTGGGTGAGTAACTCATAAACTCTAAAGTTAAACATACTTGACTTCGAGTGATTCTATGATGATGAGTGGCCCTTGAGAAGTCTCTCGGAATACGTGTTGGTGAGTTTATGGATGTATTGATACTTTGAATGAATGAACAAGAATGATAATTTCAAAAAACACAAAAACGATAAAACTAAACTTCGAACAACATAGGGGTATATTTTGAAAAAAATGATAAATTTATTTGAGTGTTATTAACTCTATTACAATGTTGTAGTATTTGTTTGTGCGCACTGTGACTCAATTCCTCTGTTAGGAATCAAACTTAAATGAGCTTCTCCATAGTGGACGCTCTACCACTCAAACGTAGAAAGAAACTCATCGTCGGTAAGCGTTGCACAGTTAGCAAAGGAAGAAGTACCAAGGAGTTGACCCGCGTTTGATTCTTGACAGCTGTGCTGGGAAACAACTATACAAAGCATAGGACCTGTGCAAGTAACAAGTGCCAACTCCACTCATTACCACCAATCTGTGATCAAAATCAAATTTAACTCCTTTTTAGTGACGATAAATTCTTCCGTGGACCTAAGGTCTATGCTCATTTTATGGATCTTAGTACATTTATATCATAAAAGAAGTGAGTCTTTTGCAAAATAGAAAATATCCATTGGTAATCCCATTAAAAATGTGAGAAGGACCATATTTTAAATGTGGATCTTGAGACCATGTAAGCATCCCCTTCACTGAGTGTCCAATCAGGTCAGAAGAGACCCTCGAAAATGAGACTCATCTTTTTTAAAGAAAGAAACTCATTGATAAAATTATTTAGAGAAAAATGAAAAAAGAAAAAAGAACAGATGGAACCATTTGAATTTTTTTTATTTGACAAGAATCATCATGGGAAGCCTTGAGGGTCTGCAATGTGTGCAGCCGCACAGAGTCCCCAAACTTTTAGAGCACAATATTGTTAGATGCTCATTATTCTAATTATTTGACATTTTTAAATTTAATATAAATTTATATTTTAATATTCTAATGGTTATAAAAGTAGTTATTGAAATTAAATAGAGCACTAATTTTAAAATACCAGCACTTTGTAAAAAAAAAACAGAATAGGACCCAGAATTTTGCACATGGCGAGTCTCTTTTTTTCACATTTGTAGTCCGGCGTTGAGAATCAACAAGAAAAACCCTTCCCGCGCTTGGAAAGTCGGATGTCTGAACCTTAGGGTTTAATTAGCTGCTTATCACACCATCGCTGACAGAGATCTCTTACTAATACTAAGCTCCGAACAATCGAATTTCGTCCTTTGCAGCAATGGAAGTGCAAATGGAAACCTCCCCCATCAGCTTTGATCCCGAAGATCTCAGTATCAGACAGCGTTTCCGTCGATACGGGTAAGAAGTGTAGCATTTCTCAGCCTTTCCCCCGATTGGGGTCTTATTTCCTTCGAATAATAGGAAAAGCCTGTTATCAGTTTGTTTCTGCTTTATGACTGTATAAATTGGCACTTATTCCAAGCTAAATCACCATGGCTTTAGAAAGTGGTAAACGTGGGCTTAGGTTTGGACCTCTGCCCTTGGCGTTCTGAGGTTAATACGTCAACAAAGAAT